TGAGGGATCTGGAAGCTTTAAAAGTGGAGCGGAGGCCAATTTTTCCTTCAACGTCTGCTGTAATTTTTCTTCTCGTTTCTTTTCTTTTTCCTCCAACAACTGCTGTAATTTCTCTTGTTTATTCTGCTGTTCGAGCTGCCACTGTTGCCGGTTTTCTTGCAACTGCTGTTGTCACTCTTCTTGTTTCTTTTGCTGCTCTTGTATTGCTTGCATCAAGTCTGCTAAACTGTAGTTTGATTTGCCGCTTCTCGTCTCCATTTTTTTTTGTCCCACTCTCTGACACTAATTTGTTACGTCTCCGTTTGTTAATTGATTTCCGTAAATTCGTTCCAACGAAACTTTAGCGACACAAGTCCTTATTTAATAAAACTGGTTTATCCTTTCCGAATATAACTTTACCATACACTTAATTTCAACAATCGCGCTAAAACAAACGCTATAACAACGAACGTGCTCAACATCAATAATACTCTCTGACTGCAGATCAATTACTCACTGTCTACACACACATTGTTCCGTCACGTTGTCACCCTCTTATATATATACCAGACTACCCTATATCTAGTAATCTCCCGACTATTCCCGAAGGTTCGAGAGAAGTGGCGTGACACTAGTCACGTGACTTCGCTGACGCAACAATATAAATAAAAAAGAGCAAAGATACTAAGACTGAGCCCTGATGTACCTCACTTGTGACATTAATCCAGTTTGACTGAACTCCATTTGTAACAACCCTCTGCTTTCTGTCATTCAGCCACTCTTCTGTCCAATTTGTTAACTTATCCTCCACCCCTATAGAGATAATTTGTTTTTACAAGACTTTCATGTAGCACCTTGTCAAATGCTTTCTGAAAATCCAGATACACCAAATCTACTCCCTTACCCTCATCTAGATAAGCAGTAACCTTTTCAAAAGAATGTCAAAAAAATTTTAAGGCAAGATTTTCCCTTAGTGAAACCATGTTGACTATCCACTAAAATTCTAAACTTTGTTAAATGACTTTGCAAAGTATCTTTTATCCGACTTTTCATAACTTTTGCCATAGCTGATGTAAGAGTAATGAGCCTATAATTACTGGGACAATTTTTATCAACTCCATTGAGAAGGGGAGTTACATCAGCCAATTTTCAATCCTCTGGTATCTGCCCAAGGACTGACTAAAAATAGTAGCAAGTGGCTCACATATCCAATCCTTAACCTCCTTCAAAACCCTTGGGAAAATATTATCTGGCCCAGGAATCTTATCGTTCTTTAAACTTTGCAATTTTTTCTTAACCAGCTCAGAATTAATGCAGTCATGTTGTTCGATCTTGTTTCCATCTAGCAATTGTTCAAGATGTGAAATACTGCTTAAATCTTCGTTAGTAAAAAACTGAAGAAGAAGGAAATTTAATAACACAACCATCAGATACGAGCCTTCTTTTATCATCCCTCAAGGGTCCTTTCCCCATCCTAATATTTTGTTTACCCTTAATGTATTTAAAGAAATCCTAACTGTTAATTTTAACATTTCCAGCCAACCTTCTCTCATACACTGAAGGGCACATGAACCACTAAAAACAACTTATTTTATAATGTTAATTGTAAAGGATTTTTGATAAACAATTACATATTTTAACACTGTTTTTAGCTGCTTAAAGTATTTCATTTTCATATTTAAAATGCAAATTTCACATTTTTGTCACTTAGGTTTCAGGATTTGCAAAAATCTAAAATGTGGAATATAAATTACTTCTGTTATACTTGGGTATGGAAGCACATTATGCTTATTATTATAATAAATTGGCAAACAACGATTTATAAGCATAATGAATTGGTTTATTTTGGGGGAACAAACTACACGTTTTCCCAAAAATAAACCACTTCACTGTGCTTAAAAATACGTTTTTTGTCCAACTTATTGTAATAAAATTTTATTTATTAGAAGCTTATATATATATATATATTTACCAAATTATAAAATAAATTGACCAAATACAATTGCTCCATTATATATTCGAGAATCATCAGCACCCATCGCCAACTCTTCTATTAACGAATAGTGGGATTGACCGTCACATTATAATACCTCCACAGCTGAAAGGCCGCGCATGATTCGAACCCGCGACCCTCAGGTTGCGAGTAAAGCGCCCTAACCACCTAGCCATACCGTGCTTTGTTGAAAGAAACAAAAGAAGAGAAAACTCTACCTCTAGATGAAAATATAGATGGAGCCACCATTATAAATCGTCGAAGGCTCAAAAAATAAAGTGCAAAGCAGTGATTCCCTCAGTTTTTACGGATGCTGCCAAAGAAGATATCAAGTAGCTTTTATAAAAGCTTCCATTATCTGATCACGACCAAGACGAGGACCAGCTTATTACTTAGTAACCATCTTGAATCCAAAATATCTGGGAGAAATGGACTTAGACGTAAAACAATTTTGTCTGAAAGGAACTGTATAAATCTCACATTTATACTACTATTTTAAATGAAAATAGCCCTTTGTTAGAAGAAAACACAGCATCATTGTGACTTAGTTTGAGTATTATGATACCACAGTTATATTGAAAACAAGTTGGTAGTTGTATACATACAATGCTAGTTCAATTCTTCATTCACAGTTATGAATGCTAACATATAATATTTTATACAAACCAATACTTATGAGAATGAATTTAAACATCATTAACATTTTAAATAATCATGCATCAAAATTATGCGTTTTACACATACCTGTTATTTTGCAGAGAGCATATTCTAAAACTTTTGTAATTTATTAGAACGTTTATTTTTTTATGTCGACTTAAAGTTTTGCTGCTGCTCGTTCTTGCAAGCCAATCAAGTTAAAACAAAACATGAACTAGAATCAGGGTCCATATATACATGCAGTAAAATATAATGGTGCACAGCATGAATTTTACTTATTTATATAACTGTGTTTGTGTATCATTTGTTGGTTAGGGTCCCCCAACACATAAATTAAAAACAGAATATTCATGTTGCAACTAATTCTATGAAATACTACTGGGGTTTCTTAATATACTTTAAATAGAATATGAGTTATTTCACAAAGTTTGTGTGTCAGTTATTTAAAGTAATGTAACAGGCAAAAACATGAAGTTACTCAAACTATGGAATATGTGGACTCTTAGTAATTTGTATATAAACAAGTCGGTAATTTGTAGGTTAAATTCAGTTGGTACCAAAAAACTTGTGGCAGAGATCTTATTATTGAAAGTATTTTTTAGTATCATTACAGGTAAATTAAATAATATATAGGAAAATTCGTTTTGTAACCGAACAAACAATAGTGAAACAACAAATGACAAAACGCTCATGAGCATTTTATTTACAACATCACTAAAATCAGTAGAAATGAAACACTGCCCTTCAGAAGTATAAGAATGGATCACTACTTATCCATATATCTATATGTAGGTAATCATGGTTGTCACCCTTTCCAAATAGATGTAAACAAATTTTCTAATATTATTTATTGAATGTAAATAAAACTTCACTTTCAGTAACTGTTACACAGAGATTTAGAATCATCAAGAATTATAATTACTTTCAAATTGCATGTAAGAATTCCTGGTTGACAAGAATACATAGGATATTTAACAAAATTAAGACAAAGATTTTTGTGAAAATATTACTTTTGGGATTTAAAATTTTGTTTCCATTGAACATCAATTCCAACATTTTCAAAAAGTTATAATAGTAATCATAATTTAAAACAATTATTCTGGGCTTCTTAGATGCAGAATCTACTATGAATTAAAACTTTATACTTTTTGTACTTAGAATACAGAACTCATTTGAAGACTAAATTCATCACTAATATGATAACAATACTGCAGACACTAAAAAATTATCCTATCTTTTATTTTAAGTTCATTAAGACTATTATGTGTAAACAATCAAATTACTTGTACAAAAGCAACCACACTACTGTATTATGGAGTGCACAAGTAAAAGAAAAAACTTCTAATATGTAGGTATGTCTGATTGATCCTGTAGTTTTTGTCAAAATTCAGATATATTTATATTTAGCTTTTTTTTGTCTTTTCATTCTAAGTACTCATAAAAGTAAATATAAAACCAAGTTCCATATCTCTTAAAATAATTTAAAGTACTTTTTAAAAAATTATTATTGAATTTTCATAGTCCAGTATGCATTTTTTGATAGTATTTTATTTGAGGGTAGCTTATTGGATGAAGTTTTAAGACAAGCTAATAACTAAGAGAATTATTACACATATAGTTGACTAAATGAGTATAAAAACAAAACAAAAAAACCTTTTATCTTTGTACTTGGGAACAATGATTGTTTTTCATTTTTTTATTACAAAGTTTTACAAAATTTCAAAGGATAAAATAAACATGCATAAAAAAACAGCATTTATGTGGAAATAGCCAGTCTTCAATTAAGGCTATGGTAGAATGTTAATAAAAACAAGTTACAACATACAACTTGGCTAAGTCAAAAACATGATATACACACCTCAACTTACTAAAATAAAATTTTGCTTTTGAAGTAAGAACATACAAAAAATCGTTTGAAACTAACACTTTAAAACAGATCAGAACAGAAGCTAATATTATTAAGTTTAAAGTCGAGCATCATGTCATCTAGGTTTCATTCAGCTTTCATAACTTTGTTTTGTTTGAGAAAATTAACCAAAATGTTGTGAATAAATTTTTAAAAGATTACAATTTGTGGACAATTTTTAACAGTTGTAATTTGTAAAATAAAGGTACCTTTAACAGTTTAATTTTTGCATTTGTTGACATCTTGATTACAATAATTACTGATGCAGAGGTTTCAAGGTTGAAATAGTTTGTCTAACAACAATCTAAAATTATAATATACTTGTAAGATTTACAGAACTTCTTAAGGTTTTGGTTTGCTACATTTCTTTGTATTGCTGCTAATGTTAACAAAGTATATTATATAATAGGAGAATCCAGAGTTTAGAAAATCTTTACACATAAAATGCTAATGTAATGATTCATTCACAGTTACGAAATTAACAATGCTGTTTTATACATTTTAATAAACTAGTCAGGCAAAGCACTAATTTTTTCTGAACAATTCACCCAGAATATTTCTTTGGTTCTCAAAAAAAAAGTCCATACTAGAATTCAAACCTTTTAAAAAATATTAACATGCCACTTGGCTTTGAAATCATACAGATTAAAAAAATTTAGAGAAGCTAAATAATTTCTGTTTGTGTGTGCATATATATCTCATGTTTTCACATTGATAAAAATGCATCACAGGTAAATATAAGCCCTGCAAACCTAAAATGAGTGCATTAGTTACATAGTTTACAATTTTATTAGTCCAGAGAGCACATATCTCATCAAAAGATGACAGTTGTAGTACCCGATATGCATCTTTCACCTGTGACTATAAAAGAATTTGATTATCAACATATCCAATGTATCTGTATCTCATTCAATGTAATATGTATGAACTATTTTATTACTATTTAAGTAAGCATTTGAATGGAATCTCTAAATTCTTCATTAATATTTAAAAACTTCCACTACACAAAGTAGAATATAATTTATTCTACTGAAAATAAAAATTGCTCAACAGAGTATAAAAGACATTTCTAAGCTAAAACAGCTGATCACAAACAATTTTTGCAGCCATTATAAAAGTATATATAATGTTAGTTTTTCACATTTATAGTATTTTCTTAAAACATTTTTTTGAAGAATAAAATTATCTATTTCAAATTATCATTTAAAACATTCATAAAACTAGTTATTTATTAAAGATAATGCAGGTTAGATTTAATGAGAAAACTCTATAGACAAAATAAAGTGTTAAACCATAAACTAGATATTTTTTTAAATCTAATAAAATAAGATATATGTCCCTTTATTTTTTTTTCAGATGCAAGTTACTGCTGAAAAACAAACATGAAAAATAATGTTAAACTTGCATTTCATTCCAATACAAAACATGATTAAGAATAAATCATACACACGTAGGTACACTATGCAATCTATTCTTCTTCATATTAAGTTAATGGAAAGATAAATATCTGTCATACACTTGATTTTTTTTTCTTTAATTTCAATGTCAGAATTAATAAAAATACAAGTACAAAAAATAAAATGAAAATAAAGCCAAAATTAGCATTGAAATTATGCAATAATACTTAAGCATTTGAAAATTAAGAAACAATTCTCATTTTCAAAATTTTCATGCAAGCAGTAATTTTAACAAATACAATAAAAACAACAACTAAAAATAAATCCACCTGCTGCAAGTCTTTTAACATTTTTCTCAAATTTACTTGATTCATTTAAAAATGAACATACATGATGTCTTTAAAATTTAACTCTAAAATGCTTTTAGGTATGGAATTACCAATTCAAAACCTTGGTGATAAAAGTGCACTCAGATATACATCAGAGGTCAGAGATACATGTACTAGGAAAACTACTTACATATTTAAAAAAAGCAGTAAGTTTCCAAAAAAAAAACAGAAAAACTATAGTGGTGACTTTTATGTTTTGCTATCTCAGTGTGTTAATTTTGAATGAAATGTAAATGTGTATCTCTTGGCATTTAATTTTACATGTAATATTCTATCCCATGTTGTATATTCTATTTGTTGCCTTTATTATTTTCACTAAATATTTAAAATTTATGCAAACATGAGTCAGCTGGTGATTTATCACTTGAGTTTTATCTAAAAATCTTATCTTCTCAGAGATGTAAATTTGACTATTTAATAATTCTCGTATTTTGTATTATATTTAAGAAATGCTTTTAAAAGTATCTTATTTGAGGAAACATAATGTATTAAAAAAAAATTAAACAAAGCAAATTTTAAATACCATTTTTCCCACACATGTTATCCAAAATTAATGTAATCATCTTAAATCAAAGTGGGCAACATAGTAACAGGACATTCACATTTCAGTAGTGTTTTTGTCTCTAAAAAGACAAGCTAAACAGAGAAATATAAAATTTACATTACCAAGAAAGTAATTTCTGCAAGGACAACGCATCTTTCTGGGCTATCTAACAGAATCACTATCTTGATACTGAAAGTATCATATTTATCTAAAACTTGGTAACAGACAGAGACTGATAATTGAAAATAAGCCTTTTTAAACAAACCCTTAATTCATCTAATCTCATAATTTAGGAGCTTTCATATTTGCTATTTTTAAATGTATTAGTTGTTGACAAAGAAGTTTCTAGTTGATTTGTACTTTAGAAGGGCAGTGAGAGAGTTATGATAAAAAGTTACATGGCTAGATTAAAAAGATGTATTATGACATAAGCAGACAAACAACATACAAAATATTTTATAAAACTCTTCTCATCAATGTGATAGATGGATAGAAGTTTCACACAAATCTTGAACTGAAGTACAGTGATGTTTCTTTACAAGATGATGGTCAAAACACTTGGTGAACAGCAAAATGGCCTGTAATTTGTTCCTAGATATCAGGATGTGGGAGTAGAGTTGGAAGGAGTATCTTCTTGGTAGGCATTTCCATTTACCACATAAGATGTTCCAAGCCCATACAAGTGGCCACAATACTTGGCATCATCAATATTATCTTCAAAAAACATCTGTAAGCCAAAGTTAGAAGTGAAATAAATATTAATCTTTGTCATATCTGTCTCAATCCAAAAATCAAAGTTAACAAATTTTTCCTCCACTTTTCTATTATGTTTTAATCTGTAAATAAAAAACAAATCATGAAAAATGATCTATAAAAACCAAAACTTTGTTATATCTTAAACAAACCAGTTTAATTCCAACTCATCTCATTTAACTGATGTATACAATGCTTCAAATATTAGTAGTTAAGTCAACATCTATAATTTTTATATTCATGTATAATAAACAGTTAAGTGTTTTATATGTACTTCAGCATCTGTATATACACAAAACAAAAAAAAAATCCCAGCAGAAGTCAGTTGTGCAAACAACATCAGTAACTGAAGCTCAAATTAATATTCAAATCTTTAATGCATATTTTATACCACTTCTAAGTAACTTGTACATTATTTTCATTGTTTGTAACCATTCTGAGAACCTTATTCTGTGACTTAACTGGATGTCTGCATGTAGAAATTCAGATTATACCAAAATTTTTTCTTTCTTAATAGTGAACAAGCTAGAAGTGGAGAATTCATTTTGTTACTGCATATTAAATGACTAGATAAATTGTACATTAGTATTATATTTTATAATTTAGAAAGGTAATCCATATATTTCACTGGAACTTCACTTTCCTTAAACTTTAGATGCATTTCTTTCAACATATTTATTAAACTAGAAGCCATTTAACTTCACTGGAGTAGCACTGTAGGTAAATAAAGGTTCAGAAACCCACAATAATATTGTTGCTGGATGTCTAAATTATAATATACAAAAGTAGGTGTACAAGGAAATTTATTTAAACACTATGATATAATATCTACATATTGTAAATTATGCTGCATCTACATTGTGATAATCAAAGAGTGAAAAGAAAACCTTGATGTTACACTTGCTTAACCAATAATATGCTATTCTGTCCTTTGAAAACTATAGGTGTAAATCAAAATACATTATGTAATTGTAAAATAAAGTTTTATTACATATTATTAGTTCTGTCAGTACACTGACAAATTCTAGATTTAGATAGACAGATACAGAATTGTTAGTGATGATGTTCAACTAGGATTACATGTGATAAATATAGCCAAATAACATCAACATTCCTGGTGTTTTTTGAAAACACACTATTCAAAGGATAAAAAAAAATTACTCTCTAACTATTCATCAATAAGAAATAGCATTTCTTGACAACTGCTTGCTGATTATGAAGAAAATATAATGACTACATTTTACATCAAAAGCACTAACATCATCTATGTGGACGTTATCATACCTAAAAATTAAATTCTACCTTCAAGACATGTTCTTCATTATGTTAGCAACCAAAAATGGTAACTACAACCCATTTATTTTCATACAACAACTTCAGGAAACTGAACAGAACTATTTTATACAAGTGGTTATAAAACCAGTGCTATACCAGCACATTCTGGCATTCCATGGATATGAATTGAAATATTACAGAGCTAATTCCACTTTCATTTAACTGTATATACTTGAAACTGTTGTAAACAATACTGTTATAAAAGAAACAAATTAAAGAATTTTCAGTTCCATCAGCTTTATAAGTGAGAATTTTAACATAAAACAAAAATTTCTCAGTCTTGAACTAACATTCATTTGTATTCTAGTTGATAAGTCTTATTAAATGAAAGTAGGTAGGTGTCATTGTTGTAAGTATCAATGTCTAATGAAAATTGTTATTAGATTGAGGGAAAATCAGCACTGCTAATCCTATCTCATAAACTTACTTTGGTAACTGGTCAATCAAAAATTAAAATTGGGCTAATGATATCACATGAATACATGCTCCAGTAACATCGTTACAGATAGCATTTTGAATACAGTTTCTAAAAGATATTTATTCTATTTCTAACATAATTGGTCAGCAGTAAATTTACACTACTGTTTTTGACTGAAAAAAAAAAACAGCATTAAAATTCCATGCATTTATTTTGGATGTGTATTTTGCACAATTTTTGTAACATTATAAACAATCTATCACATATTACTGCTTGCTCTTGTAAAGTATTTCCAATATACTTCTGGTATAACTGTTGATCACAAACTAAGTAGTATGTTTATACATATTTAACCTTCAATAAATAAAGCTGAGTGTAATAAAAATTACCCATTGTCTTTCTCTCAAAATTGTGGTAAATTTTTCTTTAAAAATTAATTTTCTGTTAGTAAAACAAAGGCTGTGTAAAACAGAAAAATGATAAAATATCAGAAAATACTAGTGTCAATTTAAAAATATTTTTTTTCACTAATTATTCCTGTAACAGATGCACTTAACAATGCTGTAACATGTGGTTATGGCAAACCTTACCTGTGTGATGGTCTCTTATGATTAAAGTTTACATCCTGTAAATAAATTTACCTTGAAAACTTACTGTGATGAAATATCTCCATTAATTCAGCAACAATTGTGTATGTAATGCTAGTTTGGGTAATGTATAATTATATCTACACATTTTAGAGTTCATTTTCATTCAGAGATAAACATGTAGTTATCTATTACACTATTTTGCCAATCATCTCATGATAACCCCAGTGTTGTATTGTTGCACCATGTTTTTTCTAAATAGATCTTTTGACAAATCAATAAAAAATATGAGCCGTAGGTATTGATACAGTAAGATAAATATAGCTTGTTTCTGAGTTTTGACCATACCAGGTGTATCATGTATGGGAAGAAACACTGAATTTGTGTTTTGACTGTTAGCCTGTAATATAAAACCATTTTGGATACTTGAAAAAGGTCAAGCTTTAGGCAATGAAAAAGCTGTTTGTCTTAAAAGGTTTTTTTCTTCGCTGTACCTCACAATGCTGTAATTTAGGTTTTATTTTCAAGATATCTACCTAGTAAAGCCACAACATAGAAACAACCCCATGCTACTGTTTTATAAAATAAGACTTTAGCCATTTTTCAGCAAGATGACTGATCAGAACCAATTCATCATATCCATAATTTAAAGTTTTTTTCTATTTACTGATTACAAAATGTATATAATTACTTATATGTAATAAGTCTGCTTCTTTCCTTTCAATTAAACGTGCTCGCATTTTGAAATACATCTCATCACAAGCCTAACTTTGCAACACCTATATATGAATATGGAAACAACAACATTCGGTTTGTCACAACATCCAAACCAAAGTTTTCTTTACAGTGATGCATATGTGTCACACATGTTCAAATCAATATACACTGCCACTTTTAGAGCACAACTCACTTCTCAGTTTTTGTTCAATGAAATCACATGGGTACACTTTATTCTGAGACTTCTACTGTTGTACAGCCATGATATTTGAACTGTTTTATTATGCTGTAAAATAATTATAATAAATATATATTTATCTTTGGTGGAAAAATATTGAGCAACTCTTATATCTGCTCATCAATTCTAATGAAAATGCAGCACTTAAAATTTTCTCTAAAAGTCCAAATAATTTCAGCCTATGATAACATAATTCGCTAATATATGTTGTACATAATCTTGGAAGTGTATTTCAAAATATTTATAGGACCATCAAAATAAAGGATTACTTCTGGAAATGGTAGTTGATTTTCAATATTACACAAAGAAGGTACATTGAAGAAACCCAGTCATTTCAGTGTGTTATCTAACTAAACCTAAGATTTTGTAATGTCTACTAGCTACACATTTACTCGTTGTCACTGACAGATTTACTTAATGTCACTCATATTGAGGAATTTTACATATATCTGATTATTAGTCTGTATAATAGGGATGGCTAATATTGAACTGTGGTTGGTTAGCGTAAACTGTAAGCTGTTGTCTAGGAGAAACAAACAAGTTTCTGCCATGGATCTTCTGTAACACATTCATTTATTATCTACGTTTACTACATCAATGTATTTTTATAAAACGTTTAGAATACCTCAAACATTTCATTGAGATACACAATTAATATTATATATTTTACTGCAAAACAGAAAAACATATGTTAACTATTAATCAATAATGAACTTTCTAAATATTTAACTTCGTCAGTGGTTATGCTTCTTCAGATGTCACATTTGGACATTAGACTTCCTTCATAACTGTGACAGTGCAAGCATTAGCCTTACATCACCATATATTTCTTTGTTTTGTAACTGAACAATTCAGTGAGAGTATTTTACTGTTCTAAAATCTTCACAGCATTGTTTTTGAAAATAATACTACAAACTAATACATGTAAGCTATATGATGTGTTACATGCTGATCTTGTTTCAAATTTGATTTAAAAGGTTTTACACGCAGTCACATGAGGTTAGTGCACCTGGTATGTCTGTGGTACTTGGAATGTAGCTTATGTGATTTGACTTGCAGAAGAGTGATTCTTGAACACTTCAGGAAGATCAATGTAATGTCACAGCAGGTGCAATGGTCATTTGATCTACACATTAACCCACAATAAAAGGTTTTGGTCTTTATTTCTTCCTGTTGAAAGAAACACAGATATTGTTCTAACACATATTGCTGTCAATCTTTACTATCATACTATTTTACAAAACTTTTGTGACTTTGAATAAGCTGAACTTACTACATTTTCAAGATGTGTTTATTGTACTTAGGTGATTTGAAAAAATGGAGTTTGCTAAGTTGGGAAACACGTTTTTCATAACTACAATATAATTGAAATATTACAGTTACACTGTATTGCTGTTAGCTTTTTCTTAATGTATAGTCATTTCCTATTAAATGTTGTAAACTGTCAAGGTACATGTTATATAAGCATTTAGATGTATTACTGTATCACTTCATGCAAATACTTGTTTGTGGTTAGTATTTGAATCTCACAAAAACACTTATGAAATACAAATAAAATTTGAAACATCTTTTATTTAGTGATGAACTTAAGCTTCCTCTGAAGTGGGCCAGTAGAAAGAGTATGTTGGATTGAAACTGTCATCTTGTTTCAGTGCTGCTACTGTTCCTCTAACAGTAGT